CATTGAAGTGGTCACCTTGCTGCAGAAAGTGGGGACGACACTTAAACAACCACGTGCATTGACCCGGCAACGGACGAAAACATCAACAAGCGAGCTCCTCACGTAATTGCAAGTGCGTCTTTCCACTCCTCTAAGAACGCGTTCAATAACGGCATTTGGTCGAAAATGCTGGAGGTGCCAACAATACCAATGCTTCTCTCTTAAACACATACTTTACGCTACTAACCCATAGCTTGAATCTGAGAGGGATCATTTGCAACCGATCTCCAATTCCTCTGGAATATTGCCACAGCCCTCAACTCTTAACGTCTACCCCAAGGAACACGATCGAGATAACATCGCCATGGATCAGCCAATGTCTCCCCCGAAGCGGATTACTCGTGCTAGAGCCGCAAGAGCTGGTGATGCAGTGGTAGCAAAGGGAACCAGAACTGGCGTGGCCGTGACGAAAGCCAAAACAACCCGCAGCAGTGCTACAGCCTCGACGGCGTCGGCCTCGACTAAAAGAAAGACACGCGCCGACGAAGCTGAAGAAGGCGAAGATAATGCAGACGAGCTCGCTCAGCCAGAGCCTGTTGCAAAAACGCGTACTAGGGGACGGCCTAAAAAGATCCTCGAACCTGAACCAGCAGCACCCGCACCGATTCGTGCTACAAGGGGCAGACCCAAGAAGACCGAGACAACGTCCACATCCAAGGAAGAAACACCAGCACCCGTAGCTAAGCCCGTTACGCGTACTACGCGGACCACGAGGAAGACTGCGACACAACCCGAGGTGGCGACAGAAGCGGAGGCAGAGAAGAAACCTGTTACCCGCACAAGATCAACGGCTACGGCGCCTACCAAAGCAACGGCAGCAAAGGCATCGGCCGTCAAGAAGAGCGTCAAGTTTGAAGAGCCCGAGAAGGAGAACATCGCGCCTCCTGAGCCTCCCAAGCCCAAGCGAGGAGCGGCCGTTACGAAGACTGTCGAGCCTACTGCTACTGGGATCCGTGCTAAACCAGTACGACGAGCTGCTGTCAAGGGGGGGACATCTACTTCTGGAGCGAGAGGAGCAGCGACCAGAAAGACATCCGCGGATAGCGAGTCTAAACAGTACGAGAAGCCCACTCCACTGAGCCCTAAGAAGGTTACTCAACTGGCCATACACAATAGGGCGACCACTACCACCACTGCTACCGCGAGACCCACCGATTACGAAGAGTCCGAAGATGAGCTGGCTGCTACTGAGGAGAGACCACTTGCCAGACGGGCTGCTAAGATTAGTAGCCAAGCAGCGGCGGCCGTCCTGAAGCTATCTTCTCTACCTAGGCCTACACCTCCCATACAGCTCTCGGAAGATGAAAAGCTAGATATCGACACTACTCTTCCCAATATCGCTCAACTTGAACAACCAACACTGCTGGGGAGCCCCTGCCGGCGTCCTCCTGCCAGTCCATGGAAGGACTCAATGAGGACTCCTGCAAAGAAGGCTGCAGACATTGTGCCTATCCTTGGGCAGTCCGCTACACGACCCCCTCCTAACAGCATGATCGATTTCGGTGAAGCTGAGTCGGCAGCCGGGGCCCAACCTCCTCAGAGCACGTTCAAGATGTCCCTAATGGCCTCCCCTGCCAAGCGCCTCGGTGTCGGATCACCCATCAAGTCTGCACCCATTCTCGGATTCGGGTCCACCAGCCAACAGCTGCCCGGTCCAAGTCCGCTGTCCAAGTCTAGCTTAATGTTGTCACCGCCCAAACGCACAGGGATTCCCTTGATGCTTTCGCCTGCTAAGGAGGTTGGAGAGGACATGGGACGGTTTGGCCGGACGCCGGTTACTAAGCCCACGCTCTTGGCCACGCCGTTACATGCTGCAGGCATCAAGTTTCCTATAGCCAACAGACTCGATGTGCCTCAGGAGACGCAGGAGGCTACACAAGGTGAAGTTGGCGTTGACGATGATACAGCGGGCTCGCCTAGTCCAACTCGAGGTGGAGACGGCGCGATGCCCTTCCCTGGGCGGCTTTCTGCTGTTCTTCCTAGGTCTGCTGATCCTTCTCTAGTAGAGGGCACAGAGCAGGATACAATCGAGGGGGATAAACAGGAACAACAGGAGGAGAAAGTGCCGGTCCGGGAGGAAGCCGCCGAGTATGAGGTTGTGCCTGAGGAGGAGCTGGAGGACCCTGAGTTGACCGAGACCGAGGAGGACCAACATCAGGAGGCCCAGCTTATCGACGAGGCCCCTAGTGCTGTACCTGACGATCGAGAGGGTGAGGAGGCCACTGCCCATGCCGAAGAAGACAAGATGGATCTCGATGCGGACTTTGAGGTCATCGAGTACGTCGAGGAGGTTAAGAAAGCGGATCTGATCTCATCCGCCCTTGGTCGACAATCTGCACTTTTTGGCCTTCGAGAGAAGGACCTGAAACCTGCTTACGATGAGGATTCGGACGAGGATGATGAGCTCAATAGCTCTGGACTCCAGCAGGCCCCGGCTACTCCCTGTCCTACCACCACCAGGACGCCTTCCTCGAGGTTCACTGGGCGACAAAGCACCGCCAAGCGCGCCCGCAACGCTGACAACTTCGGCTTCACGCCTTTGGCTGGACAGCTGCGCTCCTGGGGTGGTCAGTCCAGCCCGCTCAAGACGGGTTTGCCTGAATCTCCAGGAGCTGATATCCTTGCCGAGGTCACTCCCTCGGCCAGCAATATCCCAGTTTTGAGTTCAGTTTCGCCAATGAAGAACGCCTTCTTCGAGGAAGCTATTTCCGGGGAAACTGCCGACACCATTGCCAACCGAAACGAAGCGGACGCTGAGGGCGAGGAAGTCACTTCAGAAAATATCGACACTGACATGGCTGGTGTCCTTGAGCCCGAGTTCGACGACATCACGCCCAGCAGCGAAGACGTCCAACTAGCTGCCGAGGCTGATGAGATGTCTCTCTCCGAACCAGGGCAGGTCGAGCAGCACAACAGCTCGCACGACGATACCCTGTCCGAAGCAAGCCAAGAATACGGCGACGAGAACGAGCTCCCCGTCGACCCAACCCTTCTCATCCCACCAGTTACACCTCAGCGTGACTTCCGTCCCCGTGAATTCCACACCGTCACCAAAGTGCCTCTGAAACCAGCCGATGACTCCACGCCGAGACAGCGCGCCAAGAAGCGGAACCACAGTATCTCCAAGCTTCCCGTCAGCAGACCGACGCATACGTTGCAGAGAAATGCTACCGTCATTTCTTACAGTCCTACCAAACAGTCGACGTCGCTTTCTGAAGAGGGCGGCGAGGTTAAAGAGCGAGCCAAGTCCGACGAGCCTGCCACCCCTGCCAAGTCCGAGTGGTCAATGGCGGCTACTCCGGCGCGGACCCCGAGACGGGATATCAACCCGACGTTGCTGAGGGGTGCCGTTGTCTTTGTAGATGTGCATACGAGCGAGGGGGCAGATGCTAGTGGTGTATTTGTTGAGCTGTTGACTCAGATGGGTGCCCGGTGTGTCAAGATTTGGGGTTGGAATCCTAACGGTTCGGAGGGTAGTGATTCCAAGATTGGCATTACCCACGTGGTGTACAAAGACGGTGGGAAGAGGACACTGGAAAAGGTCAGGGAGAGCGATGGTGTCGTGCAGTGCGTCGGTGTTTCTTGGGTGTTAGAGTAAGTCCCCGCCCCTATGCCAACCTCCACATGCAACATCATGTTCCTAACAACAACGCACCAGCTGCGAGCGCGAAAACACATGGGTAGACGAAGCCCCATACTACATCGACACCTCCCTCGCACCCCGAGGCGGAGCTCGTCGTCGGAAGACCATGGAACCCAAAGTCCTTGCCAACCTCAACGGCCAAGTCGTCGCCAGCCCTTCCTCGCGCTCCTCCCTACCCCTTTCCAACGCGAAATCCGCTCCTTCTACCCCAGCACCCAACACAACCCGCCGTCGGGAATCCGGCCTCTGGCAACGAACCCCCGAAGACCACCCCTCCACCGAGTCCCTTGACGACTTCGACGACAAGGAAAACTCCCTCATCCTCACACCCGTCCCGAAGACACCCGCACCAGCCCAGATCGCGGCTTATATCGAGACTATCTCTACTCCGACCTCGACCATCACTGACTCATCCTTGGATGTGGATGAGGAGGATAGGAGAGCCGAGATGTTGACGAGGACTTGTCCACCAAAGAGCACGTCTGCCTACAGTGTTTTAGGGGAAGGTGTTTTGAAACGCGAGAAGGACGAGGGCGTGCTGATGAGGCTCATGGCAGCAAGGAGGAAGAGTCTGCAGTTTGCTCCCAAGGTGGGGAGTCCGCTTGCTAGGACGCCTTGGGGGGTGTGAGTGGGAGAGAGACGAAAGCAATGGGAGGAGTAGAGGGGAAAGAGGATGTGTAGGGATACCCGTCAACAGATACATGTGAGGTGGCAGAATGGGACAGCAGCATGTGAGAGGTTGATCAGGTACCGGGGTGGTATTCATGACTGGTTGGTTTGCGAGGGCATTCATGCTGGTTTATGCCTGGAATAGGAACCAGGCTGGCTGGATTGGGCGTTTGGACTTGTATTATCTGGGTGGCTTAGAATTCGGCCACGCCGGGTCCGGTTTGGTCGTTACCTACTGGCCCTCACTGGTGTCTATTATAGGCTATAGTGCTGTACGCCGAATACCTTTGGTTGTTATCAAGTGTCTACTCTTGCTTGTTATTGAGGCATTGCATCTCGACACTTGCACCTTACCTCAGAAATGAAAATCGATGGTATTCAGGCACATCCCGACTACACAACCGTCGAAGCGCAAGAAGATATAGTGAACGGGAAACTTCGCCGCCGTATTTCACAACAGAAGTGGGCAATAAAAGGGGTTTCAAACTCCACGAGCAAGTGCTAGGCCTCGTGCCTCGGAACATCAGCATAACCGGCACAATCAGTACCTCTATGCAGGTCATGCAGAGCAAAAGAACAGGATGGACAGCAAGGTCTGGTAATGCACGCAAGTCGATGAATGGCCAAAAATCTCCTCGATATGGCAAAATGGTCCCAGAGAGGCTTGAACTCTCGGCCTTCGCATTTACTTGATGATCTCTCGTGACTGAGGGATTATTAGTACGACGCTCTAACCAACTGAGCTATGGGACCGGCTTGTTGCAGTAGTCTAAACAGGCATTCCCTGTGAGTCAATGAGGGCGTGAGTCAAGTGAGGACTTGGTTGGAGAAGTGGAGATGCCCTGATCCTGTAGATGTACCCAATTCCGGACGCTGTTACGCAGTGGTAGCTTATCAACTCAGTAACCAAGGCGACTTCCAAAAGTTTACCGAGATGGTGCCGTTTTTCTAGGTGGAGTGCTTCCTGTTGCCATTACGACGTGTACTCAAGCTCTTGCCAGTGCTATTGGGTGCTTTGTGGTCCGGTTATTGCTTTGTGCACAAGTGCCGGATGTGCCCTGTCCTATCTCGCTGCAATTGTACCAGGTAGGCTGTAGAAGACGTTGTTTGCCTTTTATTATGCGTATTGTAGTGTTGCTGCATGGCGTGGAGTGGCTCGTGTTGTCTGTAGCTTAGTATCCGTTATAGGTCTTTCCCAGAACGTCCCTCGGGGTGAGTCTCCTAAACCACCACTTCCCGCATTCGGCGTCACGTAGTCCTTCAGCAGCTGAACGGCGTCTCCATTGGACGCCTTCAAAAGACTTGTAGCTTGAGGCTTGGTCACATCGAGTTCCGACATCTATCAACGCAAGGGTCACTGTCAGTTCCTCCTTCCCTAGAACAAGCAATTGCAACAACTTACAATCAAGGTCACATCAGCGGTATCAATCTTGACCTTCTTCGTGTCCTTCTTGGCATCCGTCTTTCCACCTCCAAGAGCGCGGTTGACAGCGTCTTGGTCGACGTCTTTCGATCCGCCCGCAGCATCGTCGTCAGCTCGATTGTCTAATTTCGAAAGTGCATCGGCTGCCTTCCTGTCTTCGGCTGACTTGGCAGCGGGAACCTCGTCCTCGACGTCTCCAACGGCTCCTTCAACGACATTCTGCGGTTGTCTTTCTTCTGCCATGTTGTTGCTAGAGCTGATCGAGAAGTAGGCTGGATGGGGCAATGTCTAGTCACACTACTATGTCTGGGAATCGTGATCTGTTCTACCATTACGTAGGTGGGTTAGGAAGCCCAAGCACGGGCGCTAGACCTCGGGCCTCAGTGGAGATGGTGATGGTGGGGTCGAAGCTACCCCAAGTTTGTGAGGGGTCAGTGAGGAGCACTGTGTTTCCAGTAGTGGAAGTGGTGACCCCGGGACCGGAGAGATGGCCGCTTAGGACTGATGGGACAAGAGTAGGTAAGAAAGTCGTAGATGCGCAAAGAACATAGCTCTCAGTTCTGATCTATCACACTGCCCGGTCACTGTACATCATTGCGGCTCATCGTACCGCAGACGTTTCCCAACCTTGTAACAACAATGGCACCCTTCCAACCACGCAACCCTGATGCTCCGGTCTGTTGCACCTGCGGAACTCAATATCCCTCCAACACCAGTCCGTCAACGTGCTTCATCTGCGACGACCCACGGCAATACGTGCCTCCCACAGGTCCCTCGTTCACAACCCTCTCTTCCCTCCTTTCCTCAGACTCACACTACCACAACGTCTTCACACCCTTATCCCATGACCCGGAGCATTTCATCTCCATCCACACAGAACCCAAGGTCGCCATCGGCCAACGAGCCATTCTAGTGCGTACTCCGGCCGGCAACGTCCTGTGGGATTGTATCACCTATCTGGACGATGAGACTGTGGAGAAGATCAAGGGATATGGCGACCTAGTTGGGATTGTCATAAGCCACCCTCATTATTACTCAACCCATGTGGAATGGGCAAACGCCTTTGAATGCCCGGTATATCTTGCCGCGGAGGACAAGAAATGGATTGCTGTGCCGCTGGGAGAGCACCAGAGTTTCCTGGATCAGACGGTCACTTCTATTTCCGGGAAAAATGGACAAGATATAGGCGTAAAGGCCTTGAAACTAGGCGGGCACTTCCCCGGTAGTCTGGTTCTGCTATATGACGGGCGGTTACTGTTGGCCGACACGCTGATGACCACGCCGGCCGGGATGGGGAAGTGGAATGTTGATGCCAAAGGGAACACGAGGAACAAGCCGCCAGGACTAAACAGTTTCTCCTTCATGTGGAGCATACCCAACATGATACCCCTGAACACAGAGGAGATTGTGCATATGTGGGATGTGTTGAAGAACTATGATTTCAGAAGTTCTCATGGAGCGTTTACCGGGCAGGACATTGAGGACGAAGGTGTCAAGGGGAGGGTGTTGGAGAGCATGCAGATTCAGATTCGACACATGGGGTATCCCCAGCATGCACTCCTAAAAGAGACGATATAGTACAGCTCCTTTTTTTTTTACTTTAGTACTATGGTCTCCTATCTTACCTCACCATACCCTCGCCTTCGTCTTAACAGTTCCGCGATAGGAATATCTTCGTCATATCCGCCATCGACTTGCACATAGTCCTCGTCGTCCACATCTTCGTCGACTCCATAATCCCGTAATCGATCACCGTCTGAGTTGGTCCACCCAGGTTCCCCATCCATGCCCTCTTCTTCGGACTCGTCTTCCCGGAAATCATACCCTTCCACATGGCCCAAGTCCTCATCCTCCTCCAACTCAGCAATGATTCCGCTCGCAAACCGGTCCCCTCCGTTCCTCCGCGCGAAATCCTCCTGCTGCCGTTGCAGGAACGCCCTTTTCATCTCTTCGGCAGTCATAGACTCCGGCATCTTCATATTACTCCTTTGGCCAGGCCAGCCAACCTTCCCTCTTCGCACCTTATCCGGGTCCACGGGCGGCCACATCCCCTTTCTCGGGTTGAATCCATTCTCCTCCCACTCCCAACCCGTTCCCTTGCCAGACGGATCAACCGTTGGTCCACCAGCGAAAGGCCAGAACCATGCCAAGGGGTTGGATGTACCCATCGCCTGCGACATGTTATCCCAGAACCCTAGGTCGTACGGGAATTCAATGTGTTGGACAATGATATCATCTGGATTATACGCCTCGTCCGAGTATCTATCCACCACCGTCTCATGTCTTTCTATCTCCCAGCCCTCGATCATGGTGGTGTTGAGGAACCAACTCTTCAGTGTTGTCGTAAGTAGAATGGCGAGGGCGAGAGATGTACCGCTTGCGAGAAGCTCGATCACAGTAATGGTTATAAGAGCCGATAGACTGGGACCCAGGTATGAAGGGAGATACCGATCTGCCCAGAGGACTCGGGCGCGAAGAAAAACGAGGTAGTGCAGCATGGCTAGGGCCAAGTTGGCGTAGACCAGGAAGCGGAGGAAGTAGGGGAAGGTCTGGAGGGAAACGCAGTTGCCTGTCCAGGGACAGTGGTGGTCCATCTTAGGTACACATCGTCGACAGTGTCGGCAGTGGTGGGCGCGTGGGGGCTTGGGGGCGTTGCATTTCTTGCACCAGCGGGGAGGTAGACCGGTCGAGGAGGAAGCGGGAGTGGACGCTGCAATCGGCGGGTAGACGCCGGGGTTCACGGAACAGGCCTTGTAGTATGTCCACCAGAGACAGAGGAGTAACGTGTTGAAGATTACGGACTGGGTGGTCGAGAGTGGTCCGGCACCGAGGTTCTGGGCCGTAGCGAACAGGTACTGGGAGTAGTGCCCCAAGAAGAGGATTAAGAGGCAAACGGCCGGGATAGCGAGGACTTGGAGACCCCTAGCCGACGGGCCCGTCTGTATGGATGCCATTCTGCTACCGTGCAGACATTCCTCGCATCTGTCAGCCTAACAGACAGGAAAAAACGTCCCAAGTGTAGAAGAGGAAAAGCGTTTGAAGTCGACTTTGGAATTCTACATGCAAGGGATGCGATCATCTGCATCGGAATTTACTCCATGTTCCGGAAGGTGCCAAGAACAAAACATGGTGGGGCTTTCCCCCTGATTTCACGCTTGTGTCTTAGGGATCAGGGGGGGCATGACCCAAAACTGACATGGGGCTGAATTTTGGCAAATGCACCCTTCCCGCGGCATCATCTCATCTCATTGCAGTTGTGGCACTTCATCTCGGCTTCTTCGCTGGATAAAGATGGGTTGACTGGACGCCCAATTACTAGATTGCAGGAGATCAGGACACTCGTTTACACAGTGATGGCGTCCTCGGAGGGCCCTCATCAGGTAGCGGCGTTTGGGTGAGTTTATATTCTCCTGGAATGCGGTTCCCCGGTTTGATCGGCCGTGTCGCGTGCACCCGGCTAACATGAGAAATACAGCGCCATTGCTTCGTTCTTATGGCTGTCGTCGTCGGTGGAAAGCCAGCCCTTGCTAGAAAGACCGATTCTATCTTCAGCTCTTGTGCTTTTTATTGCTGGCGTACTCTCGTTTGGAGCCAGCTATGCCTCGTTATGGCTTCCCGGGGCCAACGGTCGGTTTGACGAGGAGCTGGTGCCCAGTCAACAGACCCAGGCGAACCTCCCACGACGACCACGGCGGTACTTCCTCCCAGCTCTGGTAGCTGCTATTGTTCTGCGTATGGAACTCATCTACCCTGTCAACCAGGATCTCCAATGCGCGGTGCCAGGTGTCGAGTGCTTCTTACCTGTTCTCCTGCTACTGTACGAACTCCTACCGGGCCGCAAACCTCGCGCTAAGGCAGGGGAGAAGACCGACACGGACACGTTTGCACAGAATGCCTTCGAAGACCTTGACGACTGGATGCAGCTCAGTAAGCCGATGGCTTTGCTTAGTGGCCTACTTCTTAGCTGTGGACTGTATCTGGCCACAGTCTGGGGTCCCAAGTCCACTTACTTCTGCGCGGCATCCGACAGAAGGTTACTTGTCCTATGGTCACAGGCTGCTGGGCTGGTTTTGGACGCAGTCATCGTTGTGCTGGCCTGGCGTGTTCTGTCTTGGGCCAAGACAACCAAGAGTCGACTGCGGACCCTCAGCGGCATCCTTCTGGGATCGTCTGCAGCTCTTGGAGTGCTGCTTACCTCCTGGCGTATGTCTGTCGGACACCCGCAAACCCCACGATACAACTATAGAGGAGTTGGTTCGTTGTTTGTTTTCGATATCCTCGCGGACGGGTTCGCTTTCTCCGTCTTCTGCGTTTCCGCAGTACTCGTTGT